CACTTTGTATTCATGCTGCATTTAGAATGAGCCGGACAGCGTCACCATCGAACCGTGCACTAAGCCATTAAAACTCACAAAGCGCAAAAGTTGTGACTCGTCTCCAGCACTTCTATCCGCCACCAAACCCCAACCCCAACCCCAACCTCAACCCCATCGCCCACCACTATTTCAACATCCACTTGGCATTTTTATTTAGCCTTTCCCTTTGGCGCAACAGCTGCTCCACTCGACTGCTGGCTGGTGTTGCCTTTCATTGTCTGCTGGCAATGGCCAACATATGTTCCCTGCCGTCGCAATGCCATTGAGTGCTTCGAAATGCAGTGCGAGGGCCACTACGATGCCCAGCTTCCATCATAATTTTTTCTCTTTGCAAGCAGAAGAATATTTGGCATGCTTCTTCGCTGGATTGGTAATGAAATTCAAAATCAATATGCGAATGAATGTGAATTCTGCTGCCACATATTCTGGCTATATGGATGTTGACACTGATCTGATTTCTCAACCTCGACATCGTTCCTATGTGGGAGAGAAAAAATACCAAACCAATAATGTGAAGAACTTTTGCCAACGCAATGTCTATAGTCCATTGAAAAAAAAACCCCTCAACAAAGTGGGCTCGCAAAAACAAAACAAACTTCAATTTTGATTGGCATCGCTTTGAAACTTGAAGTTACTTGCTGCCTTTCCTTCACAATAGCAATAGAAAAGCTTTAGGTTTGTTATCACGTTTGTAACGAACTATCTAAATAAAATATTAAATAATATGTTGTAAACTTAAATAAAACAATTGCTATCACTGAGAAAGCACAATCTCAATGCACGACCATGTTTCAAAACATAGGAACAAATTATAAGCAAATATTATGGAAATAAAATAAAATAAATTAAGCAGGAGAATAATAAGTAAGATATCAGATACAATGGAAAATATTTGTGTTTAATAAAATTTGAAAAACATGATTCATTCTACATTTATTAACATTTTATAGTTGAAAAACAATGAAATGCTAATAATAGGAATTCAGCAGCTTAAGTATTTCTTGTAGAGCAAAACTTCACAAAAGAAAGATCGAATTTTAAATTGTTTTTGTGGTGCTCGTTGTCACAAAAATAATCTCGCAAAATTAAATACTTAATTAAACTATTATAAACCAATTTCCCATCTTCGGGCCAACATTAATAAACATATAGAATTTATGTGTTAAACAAATACACGTGATTCCATTTTGTGTATACTCTTTTAGAGAAGAACAGCCAGCAGATTGTATTTAAATTGTAATATTTATGATCATTTGTACCAAGTTACGATCAGACCAAAAAATGTTGAGAAGTGAATTAAACACATTGGAAAGCAAGAGAAGTAAACTAAACCAAACAAATTATAAAATATAAAGCGTATGATTGTAAGAGCATTTCGATTTCAACACTTTTCCACTTTCAACACTTTCCCTACATGTTATGGTGAGGGTATTTGCATAAGTGTGCGACCTAGTGATGACTTTCCCTTTTATTTTCTTTCAACATTTGCTCAACTCAAGTCCAGCAGTACGGCAGTAGTCAGTATTTACGAGCTTCTTGTACAGCTGTTGCCCCTTCACCTTCAAAGGGAACGACTATTGCCAGCTCGGGAGTTGGGAGTGGCGTACAACTGACTGCTCTGGCATTTCTCGGACATTGTTCAACTGTTAAAATGTCTGGCAAGATTTCAAGTTGACCCCTGGACTCTACTCTATTGCAGTCCCCTAGCTTGTCGGTCAGTCGCCATGAAACTACGATGAAACTACGACTATTGTTTTTCTTTCATTATGCACTGCATTTTTTCGCTGCATTTCTTCGGTGCCACTGTCTGTTGTTATGCTTTGCAATTCGTACGTGTGTATGTATGTACATATGTACGTATGCACGTATGTATGTATGTATAAGTGCACCAGGTTTGTTTTTTCTTCAGCTAAAGTAGTATTTGAAATTGTCTTTAGGCAGCACATTGTTAGCAGCTTGTGAATTTTCAAATGGACAACAGTTGAAGCATAAACATTTTTTTCCCTCTTCATATTCTTGTTGTTATTTTTTCTTAACTGCCACACTCTTTGTCGTTGTAGTTTATTGTTTTGTTATTCCACACGCACACGCACACGCACACGCACACACACACACATACACACACGCACTCTCGCACACTTTGGTTTTATTTTTGTGTTTATTGTCGCACTTGCAGCCGTTTGTGCGACAGACAGTCGACACATTTGCAAGTTAAATAGTCGTGCAAATGGCTGAGCGAAATGGCTCGGAGGAAACCAGATTAGGGGTAAGCATTTTAACGCGTGAAAAATAAGACTTGGCTAAGAACGCATTACAAAAGATTTACGAAACAAATTGTTGGAACATGCGAGATAAATATGAAAACTTAATAAGGCATTGTTGCCAGTTAGATTTCAGATAAGCAGACAACTTGCAAAACAGACATCGAAAAATATAAGAGTGCTACATACTTGTACATACTTGTTGAAAAGAAGTCTCACAACTGTTTAGCTTATTCCCCTCCCAAATAATCTTGTGCTGTCAGCAGCTTACAAAGTGTACCACCAACAAAATATACGTTTAAAAAAAGAAATATCAAGCAAAATAGTTTATAATACGTTGAAGAAAATTAAAGAAAACAACATTTTAGATAAGAAAAGAGAAAAACTCTAATTTTTGTCAAAAATACAACTCTCTTTTAATAAAGAGGCGATAAATATGTTTAAAACCAAAAGAGGTAGGTTATATATTATCTTTAAAGAATTGGAGCAAAATAAGTTATAGCCAATTAGCTCTAATTGGAAACAAACATTGCCAATCGAAAATAAAAAATAATAAAACACTTTGACAGAAATATTGTTTTCCACAACTCTATCCATTTCCCTAGAAATACAAATCACAGTTTCGAGTGTTTAATAATTTTTATTTATTTGTATCTTACATGCAGCTTAGAAATATTGTTTAGCAACTGTTGCCTTCATTTAAGTGACGCTTTAAATTGAAAATTGGTTTTATTTCTTTTCCTATTTTCCTGTATTAACAATCAAGAGTTAAACTTATGCCTTTAAGCATGTTGTAAAATATCGTTTAGCTTAGTTAACATTCAAAAAGTACAAATATATTTAAATGTCAAAATTTACGACAGCTTTACCATTGTGATGCCTGTCAATTTTATTTTTCAATTCTATAGCTACACTGTTTTATATCTCACGAAACTACAACACTATGAGAAGCACACTCCATATCTGAAGAGCGCAGAAGTGTGTTGAAATGCTTCACCAGCTGATTATTTTCGTGATCAGTATAATTAAACGACTCGATAGCTCCCGCAATCACATTTTGTTCAGATTTCTTGGATATATCTGAAGTGCGGATGCGCACAGCTACAAATATTTATGTACATATTTATGTACCTATTTTAAAATTCATTATAAATCTCACTGTATCTTCCAAATGTTGTGCGACTCCATAAAGAACCATAAAATTCAGATTTTTTGTTGTGAACAGTATTATTAACTATTTATAAAGTTTATTAACTGCTTAACGTTTAAGGAATTTTTTCATAACGCCATGTTATGGCATTGTATTTATTTTAATTGAAAAAAAAAATTATAGTTGTTTTTTTATTAATGGAGTTTTTTTAAGTTTAATCCTGTTTGAAAACTTTTTTTATTACAATAACACTTAGTATGCAAATGCTCGCATTCATGATAATTTTTAATGACCTTTTTTTGTTGGACTAACATTTTAATTTGTTTATTACAGCGCGTTATAATTAACACGCAATTAACTTATTGCTACATACTAGTAGCAAAATCCATTTAGATGCATGTAAATTGAAAGATACACACTTAATTAAGTTTATGTTTAAATTGTAGCTTTTTGAATTTCATTTTAATCTTACAATCACATTGCAATTTAATTCGATTCGTTTTAGGTTAATATTTTGAGAAACACTGTTCAATGTTTGTTTTATTTCCAATGGAACTTTTTGCTCACATACTCACATATTATTGTATGTAAATGTTTATATTCCTGGAATCGCTTTATATAGGTAACTGAATTCCTCTTTAATTTTACTTTTCGCTTGTGCCGGTAGCTTTCGAGTAATTGGATAAAACGGCATTGTTGTTGCCACGGCATTTCAGTTTGCTGTAATAAAAAGTCTTCTATTGAATGTTAAGATCATATCTTAAGCCTATTACCTACAAATACACAAAACATTCAAACACATACATAGACTGCAGCTTAACAGTGTACGAGTAACAACAATAGGCAGACAGTGCGTCTAGTGGCTCAAAACTATAGTTACACTTGCCTGTCTAGCGCCTTCGATATCGTTGCTAATGAAATATTAGGCAATGATAGTTAGATTGAAAGATAAGGAACAATAAATTGCGAACCATTGTGAGGCACACAGTGCGGTCGGAGCTCGTTGCGAAAGAGCGTTTCTAGATTTCGGTTTAAAAATATTGATTTGAGACATACGATTTCTGATGCTAAGGTAGAAGCTTAGAAAACGTAGTATGAAAATTCTTGAACATCTCATTTTAAACTCTAGCCGAAGCTGGGTTAAGGAATGGCGCTTAAATACATTCTCCTGGGTAATATTCTTAAAGGACTGCCAGCAATTACACAAAATTAAATATTAGGCTTAACTTCATAAGTAAAACAGCTTCTATTTGAAGCTCTAACATTTGGTGAAACACATATTGAAAAATTTATGAAATTTAAAACAGGTCGATAAAGGTATAGTAAGGCAGACAGATAGGTATAGCTATAGCTTTGAGCAATGACTTAACCGTGTAAGCCTACGTTGAATATCAATATAGTATCCTAGATCAGCACAATTTCCCTTCGCGTTATAGCAAGCACTCTGGCGCCCTAAGTAGCTCGGCATCCAAGCCTACTCATCTGCGCGCTATAAACACAACCGTCTCCAGCGGCATGCCCCCACCCCCTACCACCTGGGGCCTATCTTATAAGTCTGTGTGCAGAACGGGCGGCTTACAGTTGCGCGTCTCCACTGCGGCCTCAGCATCCATCACCAGCAGGGCAGCATTGCCAGCGCCCAGGGTGTTGGGCAACTCGGCTGGTGCGTGAACCGCAGGATGTACACAGGTCAACCCATCTGCGTAAGTTGTGGCCATGTTGCTGGTAGCCGTTGTTGTGGTTGTAGTTGTTGGGGTTGCATTTCGCAAATGGGACGCATTATTGTTGCGTGACGCCACTAGACCCTTCTTCTTGGCCATACCAGCAGCTCCGCCGCCGCCAATTAGACGCTCCGACTGCCGATTCTTGCCGAACTTGGGGAACAAGCTGTTTTCCAGCTGCAGTTGGGCATTCACATCCTTGCGCGCGGCACAAGTGCAGGCCTTCATGAAGCTCTTCTTGAAGTTGTCGCTGAGGAAGGCATAGAGTATGGGATTCATGGCCGAGTTGGAGTAGCTGAGGCAGCCGCAGAGCAGAAAGACGGCCACTTCCAGTCTCGAGGCGCATTTGCTTGGCGACGAGTTGATCAACGCAACTTGAGATATCCAATGGGGTAGCCAACACATAATGTATACTGTAATCACTGTCAGCACCAGTTTGGTGACCTTGCGATGGGACCGCTTCTTCTCCTTACTCTTGTGCTTCGGCCCCACCGTGTGCAACTTTCTAATGACAAGGCAATAGAACACCAATATGAATGTTAGGGGGGTCGCAAAGCCCAGGGCCAGGGAGTACAGTATAAATGTTGTATCCGATTGTGTATTCTGTGCGTCTGGCCATTCGATGTTGCACGAAATATGCTCGACCCCGCCCTGCTCCATATGCACCGTGCTCGCGAACAATATGACGGGCAACATCAACAGCACAGATGTTATCCAAGCAAATGCCGAGACCAGTTTCGAGACGAACGGTGTGCGATAGCGTGGCGATGATATAGGATGGCACACAGCGATATAACGATCCGCTGACATTATCAGCAGAAATATCGACGAGGTAAACTGTGTTATCGAGGTGCTCACCAAGTATGCCTTGCACATGTAATCGCCAAAGGACCAGCCGCCAATCTGCATCGTATATATGAGTATGGGTATGCCAATCAGGAAGCACTCGTCCGCTATTGCCAGGTTCAAGATATAAATATTAGTAACGGTTTGCATTTTGGAGAAGCGCAGCACCACATAAATGACCAGCGTGTTGCCGAAGAGTCCTATAATGCAGACCAGTGCATATAGTATCATGGTTATCAGCTTAACGATCACATTCTGGCCATCCGGGCAGTCAGACATATCCTCATCCATGTACTCGAAGCCACTCTCGTTGCGTGAACCTCTAAACGGTGTCACATTCAAGCCACCGTTCATCATGAAACCACCAACTAGGCTGGCATTCATGTGTTTGTAGAAGTCGCCTGCCCCAAAGGGAGGGTGCAGATGTGGGTGTGGGTGTGGGTGCGGGTGTAGTTGGGAAGCCACCAAGCCTCGCGTGCTACTGTTTATTCTGGCCGATGGATGATTACCCTCCATTGTTGCTGTTGCTGTTGTTGTTGCCAATGATATTGTTGCTGCATTTGGTGACGCAGTCGTCGCCACTGTCAGCTGTTCTGTGGGCGTTATTAAGCTCGTTAGTGTCATCACCGCTGTCAGCACAAATAACAGGCCGCTATTGCCACCATTGCCGCCATTGCCGGCATTGCCGCCATTGCAGCTGAGGCTGACATGACCAGACGCCTTTGTTGCCACCATCCGCACCGCCGTCGCGGTTGCGGTCGAATTTGGTTTCGAATATCCTCCACTTTCATTTCCCTCCTCCTCGGTCATGCGCTGCAATTTCATTTTGGTTCTGCTGCTCCTGCTGTTGTCCCTTCTGCTAATTTACGAATTGTTTGCCGTTCGCCTTTTGGCTTATTAGTATAGTTGGCAGGCAGCTGCTGTTGCTGAAGCTCAAATATTTAGATATGTTTGCCATACTTTATGGGTCAGCAAGCCAGCTGCCCTTATGGTCGCTGAAGTCCAGCTGTCCAATTGCAAGTATTTCCATTCTGTAAAAAGGAAGAGGGGAGCACAGAGTGTAGAGCATTATTAGTTGAGCATATTGGCAGAGTTGCAGTAGCATTTGTTTTTATTGTAAATTGCTCTTCGACAATATTTCTGACCCACACCCCACATCCATAAATGGGCCTGCTGCGCTCAGCTCTAGCTTTTTTTAGCAAGCGCAAGAGTATTATTTACTGAAAATATTGAACAGTCGACTCTGCAGCAACAACATCATTTGTGCTACCTCCCTGGATGGGCTCCCTTGTCTCTCTGGCAGGCAATGCAATCAACTATATAAAATTTCGCTTGCTTGCTCCCGTTACGAGAAAAAAAATACTTTCTATTTTGCCAGTGAAAAATTAAAAAAAAATAACAGAAGAGCTTCATTGATGCCAACGCTCGGGAGCATGACAGCATCAGTGTTTGGCTCAATGTCAGCTGCACAACAACAACAACAACAAAAACAAAAACAACTACAAGCAATTAGGGTTAGGAGGAGAGTATAGTTTCAATGTAAGAACATAAGTGGTCGGCAGTATGGAAGAAGTAAAATGCAAGTCAATTTATGATGGGTTCACAGCACAAGACGGCAACGAACCTGGATCATAAATAATCCTACTATAACGACTACGAGTATGTACTAGAATTTACATACTTATAATATCGAACAACACAGAAAAAAGTTAACCTATAATTTGTTGCTCATTGAACCTGTGAGACTGGAATGCAGAGAATGTATGATTCAAATATTGTTTACTACGTAATAACAGCGCAGAAAATAGTTGAAAACTGTTGCATGCTGCATTGAACCCATTGGTCTGGAAAGCAGAGAATGTTACCCAGAATAAAATATTGGTTTTCTGATTTATTAGAACTGACTATCTTTACTCTCGACCCTAATAAATTATTATTATCGTCATTTGAAAAATATGTGAATCACTTTATTTCAAAAATATATCTTTTTTACATAAAGCGTAAACAATAATATACCTCCTACCTTTATACATATCTGTCTTTTAATATTATATTTAAATAAAGTCAATTTTTTTTACAAACATAGAACGTGGGAATCACAAGTTGTATTATAGATATAACAAGGCAATCTAAAAAACAAGGGCAAACCAAAAAAAAAACATACAAGAGTAATTCAAACTTGAATTGAAACTCGAATTTAATTTCATGCATTTCTTATATATTTTTGCAAGAGAGTGGCTTTAATTTCCAAACTCTATCTACAACACTTTACATATTTGTGCCATTTGCATTTAAACTATGTTGGACAGAAGTTAGAAACGATTAATAAAAGAGGCAAACTGATTGGAATATGTCATGCATATTTAATATGCAATTAGTTTGGTAAACACCACATTGAGCCACAAATCATTTGTTATGTCTTATAGAATGATTTCGACGCCCATGACTAAGCCTTAAAATCTATACCGTAGGCCAAGCTTGATTCTTGTCTAGCCGGCATGAGGCATATGCCACTTTTTGCTATTTAATCCTTTAATCCTCCTATTTAATCCTCCCCAAAGGATAAACAAATGCCACAGACAGCCAAATCATTGTGTATTCCCATTGAATATACTACATTGTTCATACATAGGACTTGGCCAAGTTCTTGCGTGCTTAAGATTTTCTGCCACGCGCCAAGGCTAAGAGTTTGTCCGAAAATGCGGAACAAATCCATTTGTATGGCAGTCAGTGTGGGGCTGTGGTGGCATTACAGTTGATTAATTAACGCATAATACCATAGATAAACAGCATGAGTTGGCCAAAATTGATGTTTAGTTTATTGGCAAAAATCTGGTTCTGTTGGTTTTTCGTTGAAAAACTACAATTTGTTGGCTCAGCAATCATATTTAACAGAAATACTTGTAAATATCGAAAATATTGTTTTTCTTTTGAATCAGGAACTAAGCCGAAAAGAAATATTAATAAGTAAAATTTTAAACAAAAAAATTAAGACTTGAGGAATAGTGCAGTGGAAGTTTGTTTTTTTTTTTTGTCATTTAAAATGACTTAATGTTTCGAGAATGGTTTTGCAGCAACAGCATCCAATTCAGGAATAGAATTTTCAGCTATTTGGACTAAATGCGGTATGTTTAAGGAAGTTTTGTCATGGATGCCATTGTCAGAACTGGACCAAATTGAAATGGGACCTTGAGGGAAGCACCAGATTTAAAATGAAAAACTAATCATCACAATCGGTTCACCCAGACAATAGTTCTGAGGTAACAGTCAAAACTACAGTCGAATTGAGAACGTCCTCATCAAACTCTCATCAAATTACCCTTGATGTACAAAAAGTACAGACGAGTTGATATCCTCCTCTCCTTTTGAAGTCGGTTAAAGATATAGTTGCTGTGGATGTTCAGTGTAGACAGCGCAGCAATATGAAGGAAATACAATTTATTCCAAAGTCTAATAAAATTATACCAATAAATTTATTTAATTTTAATTAATTATAAATAATTCAATTCCAAAATCATCCAAATTCCAAAACATAGAACAAATTTGAAATATTACAATATATTTAGTCATTTATGACATCCCAAAAGCATTACGTACATAGATGTTATAGTTATTCGATGCGATGGGTTTGCCTTTATGAAGTAGAAACTGATTTTGAAAGCAATATCTTGAATTGTATAAGTAGAATATTTTGAATAATACAAGTAGACAATATTAATTTATGAATATTTCAAAAAACCTGCTAAAGCGCGTTTATGATGTTACAATCTGCTCTGCTTTGCAATCAAATGCTACGAAATGGGTATTGCCGTTTCCGTGAACATGTCCTCCATCGTATAGAACTTAAGCTTTGTGACCGCATTGTGTCCTTTGACCGCTCTTTTGGGGCTTCACCGCTCAATTGCAGCCAATTAATAGGCTCCGATGCATGCACGCAAATCAGTCGATGTGCGCTCACTTGGCAAACTAAACCCATATGAATAGAAGGGGCAGCTACGTGGGCAGCTTTGAACGTGCTCATCAGATGAAACCGCATCATAATTGCCACACAGAACCTGCCAATCGATTTTTAGGAGTGTTTGGATACATCAGAAAGCAGTCTGCCACCCCATCTGCATTTCCTTTCAGCAGACTGGCTGGCAGTCTGTATCCACGAAGGTCACGAAATGCTTGACTGCAGCCTCAATGAGACCGAGACGATGGGAACAACGATGGCCTCGAATCGCTTTAAAGAATACACTTCCCTTGAATTTTTTCAGGATTTGCTTTGAGCAACAGTCACGTAATATGAAAGCATAATTTTTCGTGTTGCTCAAATATTGGACAAACTTTTTCATGAATGTGACTTGCAGTTTTCCCTAACCTCACAAACCTAAACGAAAACCAGGCGCGTTTCCCACCTTTTGTTCGCTTTGTCTCTCACTTGTTCACTTCATTCGGATATTAGCATAAAATTCATTCCATGCACTGTTTTTAAATCCACTTTGTAGCTCATTGCGCGCATTTGTTTAATGTTTCCCTGGCTGCCCTAAAGTACCGCCCCAAAATCATGACATCACTGTCAATAAACTCGTGCGCAGTTCAACTGTTAAATGCGCTTAGCACTTTGGCCTTTGATGCACGACATTAAGCCAGCTATTCAAACATGTTGTTTAATTAAATTTGTCAATAAACAGCACTCACAAAGCGTATAATGGAGTTTAAGCTCAATCAAAAAGGTGAATGAAAACATTTGTTTTATTATTCAAATATTTTTTTAGTGTTAAGGCTTTTTTTATTCAGAGCATTATTGGCCCGTCAATATTTAAAGCAACTCTGATATTAGAAACAGAAGAATGCATCACAGTTTGTTGAAAAAAGGTCGAGATTTTTTGTAAAAATACCAAATTTGTCAAACATTTTGACACAATCATCGGTATGTGATATCTGCCTCAAAGGCAGTGAAAAGCATCGCTTCAACTCAGGACACAATAGAAAATGTTTTGTATTTCTGAATGTCTGCTATGGAATGTATTTATTACAGCCATGTACATATGTACATACGTATACTATTCATTCATATTTCGTTTCGTGGAAAACTAAATTGTCATTTGCTTTGACTTAAAGAGAATCCTTTTTCGCTTTTAGCTCGTGTGTGTGGGTGTAGAGGTCCAAATGCTAGAATTTGAGAAAAATAATCCAATTCTAAATAAAGCTTTTGGGCTTTCGTAAACAACTTTGCTTGTGTCTCTGTCGTGATTACTCGCTCTCCAAATAGAAGTCTTAATTATATTTTAATTTTTGCTTTAATATTTTTAAACGCCAACATCAACAGTTAACGAATAATGAAGCTTTTCGCAGTCCCTTTCTGCTGACGACTTCTAATAAAAAATGCTTCATGAATTTATCAGCCAGGGTTTCTTATTGAATTAGTGACTTTTCTAACAAACATTACAAAAGTTAAAATGGTGCAAATATTATTAGCAAGGAGATGTAATAAATTCGTAGCTAAGAGCTGCTGTACTTCCGCTATCGACATCTACATCTTAAATGCTAGCCCAAGGAGCTTCTCTATATATAAACGTTAATTTCGGTCTCACACAGAGTAATTTAAAGATTTCTTCTCATTTAACACGAATGCCGATTAATAATATATATTTTGATTATTTTTTCATAAGCAATAAAAAAGTTTAAGCTGCAATCAAAACACGCTAAGAGTCTACTACAATTAGCTGCAGCGGATGCCAGTTTAATGGACTACTAAAATTCAGCCAGTACCTTAATTATTAATAATATTTCACTATTTAAGCAAGACTTTTTTAATGGAACCATTGTTATATTATTAT